AGTTTGTTATACTTTTGTGGGTTTATGGTTCAGGTAAAGGAAGGGGGAGGAATGAGTTCATGTAAAATTTAAGTGACTGTCTCTACTCTTCTTCCATTGCTGGAACAAATACCTGACACTGAAAACTAAGGAAGGAAAGGTTCATTTATCTCACAGTTACTGGAGGTTTTAGTCCATACTCAGCTGGCTCCAAGGCAATATGGCACATGGCAGAGAGCATCCTTTCATGGCAGCAGTAAAGATCAGAGAGAGAAAAGGAGCTCAGGCATCTAGATAAACTCTCCCTTCCTTACAGTGTAATGCAAATTACCTGCCCCAGGGCAGGTGCAGCATGCACACCCACAATAATCAATCACACACTCCAGGAGTCCCTCCATGACTGCATGAGGCTTTGGGGAGACACCTGTACACTAACCATAACATTCCACCCGGGACCCCCAAAGACACGTGCACATCACTTTATACAAAAAACATTTTAGTCCTTCTCTAAGAGTTGCCAGAGTCCCAACAGTTTCAGCATTGCTGAAAACTCCAAGTCCCAAGTCTCCAAGATCCAACCAAACTTTTGCTGTGAGCCCCTGTACAAATTAAAAGTTAAACACGTCCAAGATTCAATGGCACAAGATAAACATTACCATTCTAAAAGGTGCAGATAGTGTGACACCAAGCATTGGCACCAAAGCCAATCCATAATCCAGCAGGGCAATGGGCTTGCCAGAGAGCTCAGTTTTTTAAAGCACTGCTTCTGGAAATGCAGTCAGGAGCAGGGGACCGTGGTTCAAGCTCCAGCTCCATGGGTCGCACCAGACCCGCCCTTAAGGCAGCCTGAACTAGCCAAAGAAAAAGACAAATACTCCAAGGGCCAGGGAATATAGCTCACTGGCATCAGCATCTGCCTGGCAAGCACGATATCCGAGTTCAATCCCTGGTGCCACCAGAAAGAAAACAAAATCCAGCCAGGCAGACATTAAGTTCTATAGATCCATGTGGAACATCTGAGGCAATCTGTGGCAATTGTGAACTCCATGTGGCTCTGCCCCTATGGTACTCCTGGTGGTTGTAGCTCCCATGGCTTCTCTCTTAGGCCAGCTTTGCTCCCTCCTTGCAGTTTCCCTCATTTGGTCCATGTTCCTAGCTTTTCCAAACTTCTGGGGTATGTGTATAGATCTGTTGGTCTCAATGCGATCAGTTCTAAATGGTAAGAAATGGCAGCAGGAATGAGAAAAAGATAGACAAGAAGATAAAAGCTGGGCTAGGTGGTGGCTGGTCTGCCTGGTTGGAGAGACGAACCCACTAGAAAAACAAAATGGACATTTATTTATACCTTCACAAAGTTAGTAACACGTGACACAAGGTTGCCTAGTGACTAACGTCCAACCTTAACCAGACCAGACGTTTATCTCAGGACTGAGGTAGCTTATTTGCTTTAGCCATTGCGCTCAGCCTTGCTTATACACCTTTGACTGATTTTCAGGCTTCTGCAGCTCCCAACAGGTTTCCACTTAATAGGCTTCTCACTCACAGCTTTACACACTGCCTTCCCAGGGGCACACTGCCTGGCCTCCCAGGTTTGTGAAATCTAGATGGAAGCCTTCTTAACCTCAGAACTCATGCATTCTGCAACTGCCTAAAACCAATGTCACATGGATGATGTCAAGGTCTGATGCCAGCTGCAGCAGTAGACAGGCTTTCTTCTTTCTTGGCTGTAGGGGTCAAGTGCCTGGATCATCAAGTACTCTGACCCTGATTTAGAGAATAAATTCTCTTATGTCGATGCCATTCTGGAACATGGTGTGGCCAGCACCACCACTTTGGAACATGGCTTTTCCCTCAAGGCAAAGTCCCTGACCTTTGAATTGCTGAGGCTGCGAAGGTTGGAGATCTGCTGCCTCCTATGATTCCCTCAGGCTATCCTTTACATTTTCTTTTTCCTCCCTGGCAGTGGAGATCCTCTCAGCTCTTTGCATTCCCCAGCTTTATTGGAGCTTCCTTTTTAACGAAACTCACAACATTGTAACTCATATTGCTGTGCTTTTTACTCTTGATTCTCAACATAAATCTGGCTAAAAGCACCCAACAATAGCCATGCCACTGCCTCAGTGTTTGATTGCTTTGACATATCTTTTGCCAGATTAATCAGTCCACTATGCTTAATCTCAGTCTCAGGCAAAGTCTGGGCACAAGCAAAATTCAGACAAACCTTCCCCCAAGGCATAACATAAATCATTCATATTCCAAAAACCAATGCAGGCCTTCTTCCCAGGAGGAACCTCCACAGTGTGGTGGTTATCAGCCAGGGTTTCCATCAGCATTCCAGTCTATTGAGCCCTGACTAGAATATCCCATAGAGAGCAGCTGAAGCTGTTCCAGTGCTTCACTTGTAGGTGATGTCTCCAGACCTTTCCTAATCTTCCCATGAGCTGTTCTCAAAAGCTCATAATCCACATTTGGAGGATTAGCCACACCAATGACTCCACTTCTCTGATATCAATTTCTGTCTCTGTTTCTGGGACAAATATTTGACCTTCAAAACTAAGGAATTAAAGATTTATTTATCTCACAGTTACTGGAGGTTTCAGTCCATACTCAGCTGGCTCCAATGCAGTGTGGCACATGGCAGAGGGCAACCTTTCATGGCAGCAGCAAAGATCAGAGAGAGAAAGGGTGTGACACTGGGACCGGGGAGATGGCTCTGTAGAATAAGCATTTGCATGGCAAGTACAAGGGCCCAAAAGAAAAATGCGTGACAGGAGCCTGGCCAGCTATCTAACCTCTCTCCCTTCCCTACATTGTAATGCAAATTACTTGCCCCAGGGGAAGTGCAGCATCCACACCCACAATAATCAATCACAAACTCCAGGAGCCACCCCATGACTGCATGAGGCTTTGGGAGGACACCTACACACAAACCATAACAGTGACCTTTCAAATGGAGTTCAGAAACTAACTGATATCACATCACCTATTTCAAAGAATAACATTAAAGAATGCAAAAATGACTCTCAAAATGCTAAACAAAAACTGCAATAGAACTGCTTATTATCAAGTATAATACCAGTGGAATATATAATGTTACATGTTTGGTCATGAGGAAATTGTATCTTAGGCATTGTGGTGGATTGAAAACTGGTGGTCCACATGTGAAACCCAGCTGAACTGAACCAGCATGGATGGGTGTGGGAGGCTCACCTGAGGATTGTTACTGGCAGCATAAGAGGGAGAACTGAAGAGGAAGAAATTTAGACGCTGTTAGGGGGCTGCTGACTCTCAGGCTAGTCTCCTGGAGGAGTTTGTCATGCTGGTGTTCCTGATGAGCTGAGCTGTTCTCATCATCAAAGGAGCTTGGGACCTTGTTATTACTGGTAATGGCTGTGGTTCACTTTAGAGAGATTCTGGTCCTTACTTTGAGCATCATCTCCTGGCTCCAGAGGGAAAGACAGCACACTGATAAATGCCCTGGAGAAGTTTGTTATGCTGGCTTCCCTGACAGAGACTTGACTCTTCTCACTGGGACCTCATTGTCACTGAGAATGGCTAAGGTAGCTTTCAGGGGATCTCTGGTTCTTGTGTTACTTTAAAAAGTAAGTTCCTGGGGGCTGGGGAGATGGCTCAGTGGAATAAGTGCTTCCCTGGCAAGCACAAGGACCTGAGTTCAATCCCCGGTTCCACCAAAAAATAAAAAAGTAAGTTCTTGTTCTTACTTTTAGAGTTGCCTGCTGGCTCCATTGTAAATCCATTAGCCTGCTAGCACAGACCCTTCATCCTGCTGGCATAGGCTTTCTAGCTTCCACCACTCACCTTTGGACCTTCTGAGCACAAATCTGTGAAATGGGCCTGCATTCGACATTATTTTTGGATGTTAGCCTCCAGTTGTAATTGTGAGAGGCAATAGTTGGGGCTCTCGGCCTTCAGATGGACTCATGCAGGACATTAGTATGAGATGCAGGCCCTCAGCTTGATTATTTTGGTCTTCACTGTATGGAAAGATTCCTGGATTCTCTGTGTATAAGACTCTTTGAGTGACTGTTATAAAATAGTCCTATAAATTATGTATCCTGTATGGTTTCCCTTATCAACACCAAAGTACAACAGGCATCTTTATTTTTATAAATATTACAAAACATAAGCCTATGAATTGTAGTAATAATAACAATCGAACTTGTTAAAAATTCAAGGGCTCAGCATTTCTCTTTCCTAAAAATACATTTCATTTAAACAAATTTAACTTAAGTATAAGAATAGTTGCATATATTTATTCCTCCACATCCGAGTCCCCTGAGGTGACACACTGTGTTAACAAAATAATCTGGAACAACGTAATACAGGACTATTGTCAGCTCAGTTGCACATTTGATCACATAATCTCTGAGGCAGCTTGTACAAGATAAAGTCCAATGAGACCTCGTGTTTCACAATGAACAGCACCCCACACGAGAGTTCTTCTAGTCATCTCAGCCATCTGTCCTCATGTTTATGTTGTGAAATCATTACCACATTCTTCATAGCTAGATTTGCATCATCTACCACAACTGCTTTTTGTGGAGAAAGTCTAAAACCTTTTTGCTAGTTGTAGTAGGTGGCACTATGTCAACCATGGTAGTCAGTACTGGATCCATGCTCTTGTTTTCTTCTCTACAAGAGGCACAGTGTGCTTTCTCAACATCTCTACTTCCACATGCCAACACATAGCTATCATAAGGATCCTCAGGATCCTCAGCATCTGCTCTTCTTTAAAGTTGTCAATTTTAGAGATAGAAAACATATGATCAATCTTTATCCATGCCTGGCATATTTCACTTGACGATTTCTTGAATAAATTACATTGTTTCAAAGGAAAGTTTTCTTTTAATTTTTTAAAATTTTATTTATTTATTTATTTATTTATTT